GTCGTCGTTCGATCGAGGTCGAACTCTTCTTTTCTTTTGGCGAAGGCCCTTAGCCTTAAAGGGTGTTATTTCGAACTTATCGAAATAACAGCCTGTCGTCGTTCGATCGAGGTCGAACTCTTCTTTTCTTTTGGCGAAGGCCCTTAGACTTAAAGGGTGTTATTTCGAACTTATCGAAATAACAGCCCATCGTCGTTCGACCGAGGTCGAACTCTTCTTTTCTTTTGGCGAAGGCCCTTAGCCTTAAAGGGTGTTATTTTAAACCTATCGAAATAACAACCCGCCGTTGTTCGGTCGAGGTCGAACTCTTCTTTTCTTTTGGCAAAGGCCCTTAGCCTTAAAGGGTTATTTCGAAATTACCGAAATAACAGCCTGTCATCGTTCGACGAGGTCGAACTCTTCTTTTCTTTTGGCGAAGGCCCTTAGCCTTAAAGGGTGTTATTTCAAACTTATCGAAATAACAGCCCGTCATCAGTCCCAGTTTCTGGAGAGTTGGACATCTTTCGTGAGAGTCCTAGTCTGTTTGGTAATGCTTGCACCAGATGGAGCAATGCTGGTGAATACGAGGTGTTGATATTTTGTTTAGGTTCGTGCTTTGTACGCCATTTGGTTTTCTTGTCTGACCCCTGCCGTCCAGCTCAGAGATGTTGCCGGCAGGAGGTATTTCAGCTTTGTTGATGCAATTTGTCCTTCAATCGAGAAGTTTCCAGTGTACGTTCGTCCACGTGGGTCTTATGTGCTTGCCTGGATAAAGACTGGGAGGTGAGGATGAGATTTTTTTCGCTCCCACCCAGTGGTCCGGTGGGGGAATACAGGCCAGTAACATTGTTTGCTTTGTTTAGTATATTGATGGTTGATGGGGCGAAGATTTTCGAGCCCGGTGATCTTGCTTGGCTCTTCTTCCTCTTCTGCACTGCTCTTGAGTCTCGCGTGGGTTGGGTTTTCCTCCGCCGTCTTTTTGGTGAGTTATTGTATTTCTTGGTTTCGATCTGGGAGAAACTAGGAAATTTTCACTAAGAAATCTCCACAGACGGTGCCAAATTATTTGACTCAAAAGATACTAAAACCTTTTTGAACAAATCAATCAAAGATGAAGGGGTAAATCTTAGTCAAACGTAATTAATTCCGGATCGAAAAGTTAACAATAACGATTGCATATGGGACGAAAGAGGCATGATTGATCTTATTAAGACTCAACATTGTCTTTCTCGTCAATTGATGAGGAAGTAAATTTACATATATTCTTCGAGGTCATTTCCTCTTTTTCTTGAAGAGATAAGAAAGGAGCTTTTTTGTCATCCTTTTTTGAGAGAATGGAGAAGCCCTCCGAATTGAGAGCTTTCTTTGGTTATATATAGTCGAAGCCCTTTTACCCTTTGTTTGACTCGACACTTTTTGGTCACTAATATGTTCTGGTCGTGATTTTAGGCATTACTCTTTTCGATTCGTCGGATGTCACAGAAGAGAAATGGAGTGGGCTCTATTGACTTTCAATGCCCAGTTACTGAGACGGGGTGTGGGGCAACCTGGTCATGATGGTCAGATTTTGACCAATACACTAACAGAGTCAAAATAGTTGTTACTAGGTGATATCTTTTTATTTATCTAAATTTTAACTGCCAGAATTACTAAATATTTGTCTTGATAGAATGTAACAGATATCCAACGAAACAATAAGAAGTGGGTAAGTTAGCTCTAATACACCATCAAAATAAGAACAAAGTAAAGTTTCATATAAATGTAGTTATCAAATCTAGCTTATCAAGATTTCCATGTTCATCTTGAAGAGGAAGACTTATGAAAGCAACACTTGTGACGCTGAATGTAGCACCTTAAATTTGGATTAAAACAAATGAAGCAAAGTAAACCAACTGTTGTCACACCTCCTTTTTACGTACCCGCGAGGGTACAAGGGAGTTTTTTCCAATTAAAGGACAATCGAAACGGGATTGGTTTATTTATTTCAGAGTCGTCACTTGGGAGATTTAGGATGTCCCAAGTCACCAATTTTAATCCCGAATCGAGGAAAAGAATGACTCCATATTACAGTCTGCGTACCAGAAATCCGGATAAGAAATTCTGTTAACCCGGGAGAAGGTGTTAGGCATTCCCGAGTTTCGTGGTTCTAGCACGGTCGCTCAACTGTTATATTCGGCTTGATTATCTGATTTTATACAAATATGAACTTATGTGCAAAATTTAACTTTTAACCGCTTTTATAATTTACTGTTATTTTTATCAAGAATTGCAACATCGTGGAAACATATCTCGAACCACGTCATATCAATGCACCCGTGGTTGTTGGCATATTTCAACTATGTTGAGATTTGGATTTGGGTCACATAAATGTGCACCCGAGTTTAAGAAAATTAAATTATTAAAGGCGCGGCTAAAGCGACTAGCGTATCATTTACTTTGGGTAGGGCCGTGGAATTTTGCTAAACGGTCCATCCCGAAGTCTAAGCAATGTTAAAGTAAATATTTACTGAGGGCCCAACAATTTTGTATTTTTATTCGGCGAGGCTCATCTCATTCTTATTTTTTAAAAGGAATTTGCAACGTCGTGGACATGCATCTCGAACCA